CTCTTATGACAACACGGTAGCAATGATGCTTTCAGGTACCAAAATGGAATTGCATGAACATTCACGTGGTGGTTATGTAATACAGCGAATCGATAATAAAAAATCTGCGTCGACAAATTTACATAATCGACGTCATCGATTATTTCAACTAATCGGTGCAGCCGTAGTCAGCTCGCAGCTCCTGAAGTCGCGAAACTAACCGAACAAACCGCCTCTAAATTATCTGGTGAATTAATTATCTGCTGTGCGAAACGTTTGCTTGCTCTTTAGTAAATAAAGCAAAGCCATTTTATTTATTTTATCTTTATTTCATCTGTCATTAAAGACAGACCAGAAAAAACCAAGACGCTCCTCCCTCTTCAGATGCGCGTCTAGTCTGCTGCTGCGTTCACACCGAACGCGTTTCTGTGTCCAATTTGAGGCATTGGACGCATTTTTGCTGCTCAAAACGCGTTTGGTGGGAACCCGGCTTTACTCCGGGGGTCACAGTTACCACAGACCAACAGCTCAGGGGCCGAACAGCCAGTCATTATGTAAATAAACCAAGTATTACAAGGATCTGTTACCTTCGAAATAGTTTATTTTTCTGCATTTAATCATGAATACAACATACAGAACCCTWTAAAAGTAGTGATAATAAAGCAATATCAAAAACAACGAGAACGCATTATGCTTCTTATTTACCACAAATATTTTGACATCTCTGACTTGCTGAATTTTTAAACCAATTTTATTTTTTGCTTTCATAGTTTTATCTTCAACTGCTTGTAGTTTTAACTGTCTTGGGTGTTCATTGAAATGCTTTTTACCAGTTTGTAGCCAAGATTCTGATGTTTCTGTAAATACATTTAGCAACAAAATACAATGCTCCTAYGAAAGGTTGTAAACGGCATGAAGCAATGTTATGAAGACTTGCTGAAGTGGGTGTGTCAGAAACGGTAACGAGGCAGAGGCCAATTTCAAGGCATTTAGATGGGCTTTGATGCAAAATCAATTTTATTTTTGATATAAACAGCATTTTCATAGTTACTTGATTGTGGCATAGAATTAAACTACGTGCCTGGAAAATACATAACACAACCACCCCCCTCTTTAATGATCACCTAATTAAAAATGGCATAATATTCACTGATTTCATAAATATTAGGGGTGTAAGAAAATATCGATACATTGAAATATCGCGATATTTCATTTCCCGATACTGTATCGATGTTCTAAAGCCCTGTATCGTTTTTTTATTAAGGTTTAAAATGTCAGCTTTCCTGCCAGCC